ATTGTGATTATGAAGATTCATTATCAACATGATGTTATTTTTTTGGTACGTTGATGTGGTACGTATATATTATAAATTGCTTCTGTATTTGTAATGTTTAGTTTCTTATAATGCATTCAAAATCACGTTTTAAATTCTTTGTCATTATCAATATTAGGGACCAGGAAAAATATAAAAAGTATATTTGATTAAAAGTAATATAATTAATCCTGTATTGTATTTTCATAAATTATTTTGAATTAATTAGGATTTCTGATGTCTTTTCAATATTTTCTAAGGATTTTAAAAGAAGTTTCTGAAATATTTCGTTTTACATAGACAAAATACAGAAAAGATAATTAATTAAATTTATTACCGAACATTTAATTGATTATTGTTACTTTATTAATTTTTGCTTACGTCGAAAAATATTCATGATATTCCGTATGCAATTTCATTTTAAATTTTCATACGAAAGATAAGGCCTGTAAAGTATCATATATTAAAGACTTGTAGAGTTATGGAGTTTCTGAATAGTATTTAGATACTAAAGTAAAAAATAACTTTGTACTCGACAGTTGAGTAATAATCAGAAATGAATTATAAAAAAAGAAAGAAAAAAAAAATTTATGAATAGATGTGTTGGTCCCTACTAATACGTATGGAGACGACCGCGTAGAAGCCATTGTTTAGTGCGAGTGTGTATTGTAAAAAGTGTGTTAATTTTATTTTTGTTCAGACATATTTAATTATAATTGTACAGTCAATTATGATGATGGTGTATCGATGTTTTTTTCTATTATCGGTGGCTGCGTGTTAGTGTGAACGATGTTTCCATACTATTTATTAGATTTTTTATTTTATCCATAAAAAGAGCGTTAAATTACTTTTTTTCGCAGAAAGAATACACAAGAATTTTCCCGATCAAAGCCGCTCGGCTCAACTTTCATGAATACGAGTATGCCACTTGTGATTTAATCACACTTTCATAATTAAAGTTTTTTTATTATCCAAAGAGTTTCTTTTCAATTTTTATTGGCCTATTGCAAGGAAAGAGAGGGTAGAGGCGCACTCGCATCGTCATTTTCAATTAGTTGTTTTGCCCGCGCGAATCAACGTACAAAACAGAAGCTCTGGTCATTAAAAGTATATTACCGTTTGGTTACGCGGGCGAGGGTACGCACTCACCACTGCGCCTTAGGTATTTACATAGAAAAACTAACCCTATTGTATTATGTACTCGTTATTGTAATTCTTTATGCTTGCGTGAATATCAAGAGGTGTATTTACATACTACTTAATCCGAGGAAAATTCTCTGTAACGAAAAATTCTGTTATTTGAGAGCAAATACATGTTTAAGAATTAATTTCTTTTAGAAATGAAAAAAACGTAAAACCGATCAAAAATCATTGCGCATGCATCACACGGGACTCGTTACACTTTAACTATAATTCCAATCAAATAGATAATATAATTTTCTGAGTTACTTCCCTGAAATATCATTTAATCTCTAATGTAATATTTTTATTGCTTGTCAATGAATTAATAATAAATCATCTAAAAAGTTAAAATTTTAATTTAATTCTCATTAAGTAAATAACTGTGTACTTAAGGTCTTTAGTAGCATCGAAATAATGTAAAAAAAAATATTAAAGCATTGTTATTATAAAAATGTTTAATTATCATATAAAATATCATAACATTTTTAAGATAAATAGAAGACAGTAATGATTTAAATGAAAATATGCAACTTAGAAATATTTAAAAGTAATTTTTATAGAAACATGGTACGAATCCCGTGACGAAGCGGCGTCGATCGATAAAATGTAGCTTTGACGATGAATCCTTTAGCGATTGTTTACAAATTTTCCTTTTTCTTTCACCCCGATAGTTGTAAGGCTTTTTGGGCGACGCGGTTATTAGATTATGCGTTTATTTGTAAAAAAAAATGCTTGTCCGACCAGAAATTTAATGGAAATCATAAACGTTTGTTTGTTTGACGATACTGTTGAATCCATAAATAAATACATTTTATTTGCTGAAAGTAATTTCCATTCATTTACTGTAGAAAAATTTATGAGATATTTTTAACTTATTTTCAATTACATTATACTTGATAAAAACATTAATATTAGCTCTAAACTTTAATTAATTTTATTTGCTCGAGACAAAATCATACGTTCATTTGACTTCTTTTCGGTCGACAACATTTTTTTTCAACTTTTCTGTTGATCTGTTATTTTAATTGATGTTATTTTCTATTTATCGTCTGAACTCGTCGAAAGGTATCCCCATCGAAAGCACGAACGACCACGAGTGTAAAAGGGTACGAGCTGTTAATTGAATATACCTGCGCTTTCTGCAAGGAGCTTGATATTAACTAATCGCGTTGAATCCTTTTACTTTTATCTTCGTTAGAACCTATAACGGACTTGCCTTCATTTTTATGCCTTTTTACCATCGTTTAAATACCATTACTTTTATTTCTTCATTCTCTTTAATTAGCCGTTTATGCAGAATCAAAGATATCTCGATTTTTTTAGAACTTCGTCTGTATAATATTTCGAAAAGACCCACCTGTTTACTTGTATTTTATCTTTGTTTCCCTAATAGTATTGCGAGAACGTAACTATATATTGCAAGTAAAAAGTTCGAAACGACGCAAAATTTCATTACGCGTTTTCATATCAGAAATAAAAAAATATTTCGCTTAGTAACGATCACAGGACCTCAGATTACGTTCAATCACGCCCGTAGCAAAAAAAATTTGTTTACTTCGCGTCTCCATTCGCACTTGCATCTGCATTCATATCCAGAATTTTGTTTTCATTAAATCTCATACAATGATCAACATTCACGCTCGCGAATTTCTCATTCTTACTCGGTCATACTTATATTTCCACGTCATTTTATCTTTTCACCTAACTACACTAGTCTCATAGACCCTATATTCATTATTTATAATATTTATATATATAATATATATAATATTTAGCATTTAGATTTTTTTATCTCTCTTCATTTTTCATCGATTCATCAGCTACGATGATTTTTTCGCTTTCTTAGAGCTTCTTAATTTTGTTTTCTTCTTTACTCTCGCTATATTTTGTATGTATATATAATATATATAATATAACTTGTTTGTAATAATTATTTTTTGTTTGTTTGCTTATGAGCTAATAGTTTTAGTGCTTTAACGAGCACTGTTGCGCGCATCTTTAATGTTTTTTTTCCAATCATTTTTGTGTGGAGTGTGTGATTATGTACTCGTGTATTACATGTATTTTGTAATCAATGCATATTACTAATGATTTACATTATCGTCATTATATCGCTTTGCACAATCCTAATGACATATTTTTATGCTCAAAATGTGTGTATATTTATCATGTATGTACATATGCATGTAGACGTGCGCGTGTATATGCGCACGTAAACACACACACACACACACACACATACATACATATATATATATATATATATATATATATATATATATATATATGCATATATATATTTATATATATATGTCAGTCAGTCAAGCGTCTCGTCATTATTTTTTATCTTATTTATCTTTAAACCCGTCGATCATTCCGCGCACACACGACACCTATATCTGTGACGGTTCGGCATTTACTACTTATATCAAACGCCATAGTTTTATTATTATCTTTAATTATTACTCGCGCCGTGTCAATTTTATCGATGCGATGACATTACGCATCGCGGATCTCACGCTAATTATTTTTTCTTTATTATACAAGCTTATAAACAATACGTTGTCTTGCGACTCTTAGAAATTACGTTTGGAGATACTCTTGGGGATTCTGGGGAACCTTAATTCTGAGAAAGTCCTATACAATGTATAATTATATATTTTTATGTTCATTAAAATCAATTAAGTGTAGTTTAATTCTTGAGTTTTGCTGAGCCTATCGCGGAGCTTATAGGGCGGCCCGTGACCCATTCGCTCTGCGATCCCTTTTCATTATACGAAATACATCAATGATTTGAAGTTTCGCGACCCTGGAGCGGGTTAAGGGTGCCAGTGCAAGACGTGATATCCACGCTCGCGGTACTTTGGGCTGAAAGCTTGTATCCAGTAGCAGTACATGGCTTTATTTGCTCGTAATTTTATTCATTATGGCACGTTTGCGGGCGCTAGCGAGGAATCGGCGCGAAAATAAATCGGTTGTAATCTCGAATCGCGCTGATTTTCGTCGCTTTAGCGCTCTACAACGGATTTGCTTTTCTAATGTAGTTGTGTTGACCTAACGGACAATATATTAAGACAATGAAACTTAGGTTCTATGGTTCGCTTAGAACCGCTTAAAACTTAGGTCCGCAGGTGATCCAGCCGAAAGCTATTGTTATCGTAGTGATCACGTAATTACCGAAGCACCTGCGTGACGTCAGGATTATAGAATCTCATGTGGCGCGATTTATACATCACATCTCGCACCGTTAACATCCACTGTACAATAATCATACGTATACGCATAAAGGTTGATGTCTGCGATATATTTCGATCGCCGACTGTTTCTTCCTCCATCACCGATTTTCGTATCATTACATTAGTCTCTCGTGAAAATACTTGCGTTGTACTCGGGTTCGGTTATTGTGAGGTTTCTAAATTGTATGTTGTGTTTCCAGTTACTAGCTGAGACAACGAGTGATTAAGAATTGACCGCTCACTTGGACGCTGCGCCTATGAATATCAGAACAATGGATATCCTACGCATTCTCGATGACGTTGCCGCTCATTTCATCAGCCTTCCTTTTGATACCACGTTGATCGTCGTGAATCTGAGGAATCGACAGCTTTACAGTTCCCTGATGTTGGTCATTATTTAATGGGATCTGCAGCTGCTGCTGTTGCTGTTGCTGTAGCGGTGACGGCTGCTGTTGTTGCTGCTGCTGTTGATGGAGCTGGTGTTGGTGTGCCTGGAGGCTGTCCATCGAGTTAAGGGCGGCGGACGCTGTGCTGTCCTGCGTCCAAGGGGTCCACTCGTCTCAGTAGTAACTGAATTTTCATGGCTGCTGGTTATTCTGTTGGTTGACAACGTGTTGAAGGGTGAAGCTTAGGGCTCGGGGATCACCATGAAGCCTTAAGGCGTGTTCCAGTCGCTGCTCTTGGAGTCGAAGAGCTTCCCCTGTACATTTCAAGTTATTAATATTGGGTTAATTCTTAGTTTTCTAATCTTTATGTTACTATAAGCATTTTTAGAACCAAAATTGTATATTGTAAATTTTATTTGCATTGTATTTCTTTATTTTATTAATATTTTATTAGTATATTTATTAATATAAAGAATTTTATTAATTTGAACAAAATTCCTTTTAACTGAGTTATTTTTATTGGGCCAAACTACATTTACACAATTGATTACTGCTTTTTAATTGACAACCCCATTTTATTTAAGAAAAAATTACACTATATAAATGAGAATTTCCCAATTCCTTTTCCCACAATAGTATGAAAATCTTTTAATTTAATTAGCAAATTATTATATATAAAAACGTATATATTCTATTAAAGTATTATTTATATTAAAAGTTAATTTCGGAAATATTTCTCAATGCATGTAATAATTTTGAGAACAAAAATAATAGTAAAAAAAAATTAAAATATAGAATTTTAGAAAATCCTATCTGTTTCGTATAAAAATAATTTTTAATATTCTTGATCGTATTATTAAAAATAGAAATGGATTGATTTGAATTCGGATCGTTATTTATTGACTTATATCCCTTAGAGTACATGTATACTAAATTTAAATATAATTATTTATATTTTGTCGAAGTAATTTGATAAAATTAAAATAAATTGGGACATAATATTTTAAAAAGAGATTAAAAGAATAAGTATTTCTGATTAAGGGATCGGCTTCAGTACAATAAAAATGTCAAATTAATGGAATTACCGGAAAACAAAACGACTGCGTGTTTCAATATTTATATATATATATATATACATATATATATATAGACAGATACTTACCCAGATCTGGAGAAAGAGTATCTTGTTGTGATAGCTGCTGATTGGTATGATGTCCTGATATGCCAGTCCCGCCACCACCATTGTGCTGTCCCAAATGATGTCTCATGTCGTTCGCGGAACTCGCCGCTGCCGCAGCCGCTTGCGATACCTTAAAACACCAATGAATTACGCTTCCGTGTAGATAAATTCATTATATCTGTTAGCTTAAGACTATCTTGCAAGAACAAACACTTTTCAATTGCGACTTGTATCATTAGAGTGCCAAAACACCTTCGCGAATTTACATTTTTTTGACTTTTTCGAACTACTTAATATTTATAAGAGATTAAAACATCTATGTGGTAAAAGAAAATATGCGATGCTTACAATTAAAAAAATATAAATATACAAATCTACGTTATCGTAATGATTATAATGTCATTAATAGGTAGATTAACTCATTAATTTGATTGATAAGTAAATAAGCGGTTGGAGGCAATTACCGCGAGCCTTAGGGCATGCTCGGCCTGCGAGCGAAGTAATGCCTCCGCCTGCTGGAGTCTCAGCGCCTGTTCCGAGCCCGAGGACTGGACGCCCTGTTGTTGTCCGGGTCCCCCGGTTGAGCCTTGGCTACCGCTACCCATGTCACCGTTATTGCCCATCCTCATGGCCGCGGCGAGCGACGCCACGTCCACTGGCGACAGATTTGGCGATACGGAGTTCTGCAGACCTGCGGGTTCAGTGTTGCCTTTTGTTAAATATTTTATTGCTTTTATAAGTATTTATTATAGTTGATTACGCTAGTCGATTACTTATCGGAAATGCTTTTATTATCAAGTGTCTGTTATTAGGTAAAATATTATTTAAAAAGAGAGAGTCGGTATTTTTTTATTTTGTTTTGTTTATCTTTAATTGCACTGTAAAATATTTCATGAATGTAATGAGCAACGATTATATAATTTCTAAGTGAAAACGAATTATATTTTAAAATAACATCTTCATCTAAGTTTCATGTTTATAATTAGAGTGACTTTAAATTGTATACTATTTTTATGGAATCCCTCTCAAGATTAATTATTACCTTAATTAATCAGCTAAATATATCTTATCTTGTATGAAATATTGAGAATGAAATAATAACACTATAAAAAAAACAATATTTTCGTTTAAATGTCGATGTGTCGAAATTTATTTTATATAAGCAATACTAATTAGCATCGGACTAGAGCCCAAAATTTTGTAAAAAAAATCGAACAGTTTTGTAAGACACTTGCTCGAATTTTGAATCATGTATGTTGAAAAGAGTAGAATAACTAAGAGATAACGATAAATATTTATAAATAAACGAAGAAGTACAATTATAAATCATCGATCTCGGTATCGAGTCTGTAATTGGAACGACGCTATCATTACACCCTGAGCTTTACTTCTCTTTGTTTCGATAAAAGGCAATTTTTATAAATACTTATCGCATTAACAATGGCATGACGCATACGTAGTTAGAAATGATTCCTGATACTTTCGTTATTTCTTTCGTCGCGATAACCAGTGACATATTTTTCATTTAATCGCTTATTTGTTTCATTGTTTTAATTGTTTTTCAGTATTAGATTTTAGACCAATACTATGTAAAATATAAGTCAACGATGTTAAAAATAAATAGAAATAAATTGAAATGTAATGTTATAATTTTCCTTTAGATCATTTATAATATATGTGTTTATATATTATATAAACGTATGCCTCGGACCAGAATTGTATCAGAATATTTTTATTTATGTACTTTTATTGAATAATAACTAAGCCGTTGATGGTTCAAAGAAAGATTACAATAGTGCAAAAACGGTAGCTTAAAAATTATAAACAACGAGATTTTCGTTATTCACGATTAAAATGAAAAAAAAAGGTCTTATTACCTGCTGATACTGCGGCTGCCATAACAGCCATCCGCTGTTGTTGGGATTGCATTTCGTCATGGTATTGTTGAGCTGTCGTTTGCTGATTACCAGCCCTAAGCATCTCACTAAGCTTGTTGCCACTTGGTCCTGGCGATGCCATATTGTTATTGTTGTTATTGTTGTTATTGTTGTTTAGTAAACCGGCGCCTGCGTAAAAATCTGCTCTCGTCAGTATAAGCTATGTGAGTTTCTCGGTTTATCACCAAGAGGAAACTTATAAACTAATAGTTTTAAAATGTACAGAGCTAAAGAAATTTCACGATGCCTTAATAATTATAGCAGTTGAAAGGCTGAAATGCTAAACTACGATTTTATTTTAAGAATAAATCGCACTTTAATTACTCATAATAATTAGTGAAAAGCGTGCAGTGCTTCTTATAAGAGAATGAATGAAATCAGCATTCAATAATATTAATAGTTGACTATTAATGTAATGTTAAAAACTTTCAACAACAAGAAAAATTCTATTTCCGATCAATAAATATCAACATCGATCTCTTACTGTACTATAATGCATAGGGGATATATGACTTCAGTCACTTCATAAAAATCTTCTGAAGTAGTGAGCTCGGAACGAACTTAATTGTTATGTTTGCTTTCACACGTTAATTGTAATGTAAATCGGTTTAGAGAAAACATTCGATTTTAGATAAGCAGCGATATAATAAAGCGTACCAGGTTCACTACCGGCCGAGGAAAGTCTTCCATTGCCGCTGCTGCTGTCCGAGTGAGCCGACGGTGAAGGGCACATTGGTGGTTGCTGGAGGTTCTGGGGTCCTCCCATTTGGCTGCCAAGAACGCCAAGGCCGGCTCCTGAACACGAGAGATAACGTTCTTCCCATCGACCCACGCACATAAGTACATATCATAATCATTTATCCCGCTCATGACTCGCCGTAAGATTAACAATTTAAGATGTGCTTAGCTTACCTAGGCTAGAACCTGCAAGAAGTTCTCGCTCTCGCCTCTCGGCCGCGGCTCTGCTTAACACGTATTGTGCCGCGAACTGGTGTTTCGGGTCCATTCTCATGTGCTCCATGTGCGTCAGTAGACCTTTTATAAGCAATAGAAATGTCCTCTGTCATATTATGTTGGACCAAGTATATTTGCCCGCAATGATTACTCTCTCGTGCATTCTTTAGGCCGAGCGATAAGATAATTTACAAGTATTTTTATTGGCATTTTAAATTTATAGATTTTATCTATGGGTCGTTACTTTCATGACTTGGATTTATTAAAATTATTAAAATTATTAAATAATCATTTAGTCTGCTTAATGCCTTTCACTCTAAAACGCATCTATCATTCCATTAAAAAGAGTGCAATAACAACAGCACATTAAAATAGGAAAAATATCAATAACAAAAACAACAACAATATTAATAATAATATTAATATTAATAATAATAATAATAATAATAATGACAATAATCACTAATCAATAATAACTGGGTGCTATTATATTACTAATAGTATTTATAATGTGAATTGCGTTTAAAACAAGTTTTAATAATGTTTGATTAAATAATATTAGTCTCATGATTATTTCTTTTCACAAGAGTCATTCAACGAACTAAATTTATTATCATCCTAATTTATTATTACTGGATTGTTAAATTATAATATATTATTATTTAGAATACTTTAATAACATAAAATATTGATATAAAATGTTCCGATAATGAAAACGCAAAGGATGGATACTTCAATTGTATTATATGAATTTCAATATAATTTATTGTATGAATTATTACAATGCACGATTTTACGGTTAAAAATGAAAAAAATAATCGATTTTATTTAATAAATACTTCTAATAAATTAAAAAACTAAAAATTATAATTTCAAAAAATAAACTCTCTACATATACTTTTTCTATATTTCAATAAAGTTAATTATATACTTATAATAATTTCCTATTGTTTTAATGAAATAATACATTTCCAACAAAATAATTCATTGTTGAAACGGACTATTGCTTAATAAAAAAATGTTATAAGATTGAAAATTGAAAATTCTAATTATTATTATTATTATTATTATTATTATTATTATTATTATTAATATCGTTATTATTTATGTACGTTAGATGATATTTGCATACGTATAATTACGTGGGACAATTACTATATATGTTGTGATAGAAATTTTTAATAGTTCATTGATTTAGAATAAAATTAAAATAAACATAAATAATAAAAGGTTATTATGATAAGCAGAGGTTGGAAGTATCACAATGTGTACTCACCACTTTCGTTTGTAAAGACGGATTGACAAACGGAGCATGGCCACATCCTCAAGCTGGTGCTCAGCTGGCTGGTCTCTGGATGGCAGGCGAGGTGCTTCCTAAGACTGCCTTCGTTGACGTAGTGCTTGCCACAGACCGGGCAGGGATGGTTCGCGGTGCGCCTCTTTGCTAAGTAAACCCCGGCAACGGAGGTCGTGCAGTCAGCGGTGGGAACAACAGGGCGACACAATTGTCAAGGTCAATGCCAAGCAGGAAAAGCGGAGCCCCATAACCGAAGCGGAGGGTCGAGACTAACTACCACCGCCACCACTATTACCACGGCTAGGATAATTTTCTCGTGACTTTTACCAGATGATCGAGAGCTCTTCGATCGCGATAAAAAGCCATGAGAGATTATTCTTTGCTCGTGCGAGCCCACGCGATCTTGACCAGTTACCCGGAAGGGTGAATAGAACGATGGTCGCTAGAATCGCGCGCGCTTACTGTTTGTGCTTACGTTTAGTAAGAACCCGTCACCCAAATACTAAATCGTGCATTGTGACAGTTAATCGATACTTTGATTTAATCAAGGAATGTGCTCATTTTAATACCTTCATTATATTGATTGATTGATCATATTCGGCTACCTGACATTCACCCTGCTAATTCATGCGACGATTCTTTAATACGATTACTTTTATATTAAAACATAATAGGGTCAATTTCTCATTCGAAACTTAACTAACATCTATCTATTTTTAAACATCTAATATTAAAATATATTATTGTATGATACCATGATGAGAAGGTGAATATTGTTAAATCTAAATCTTCTATGATATGTACCATTAAATGACAGTTACTGCTTTCGCTAATTATATATTATATAATATAAGCCTTTTTGCTTATTAAAGAAAATCTTCTTTAAATCATTCATGATTGCTCAATCATCGGAATAGCTTGATAATTGTTAATAATAGATGTTATACTGTTTTTGATTGATTTTATTTTCATTGATTTTTAAAAAGTTTAATAATTCTTATAAATATTTTGATTAAGAAAATTCAACATTAAAATCTTTCGCTATAATGAATTGATATTTTTGGTTAATTTTTTTAAATAGATTCAAGTCAACTGCTGACTCGTTTTGAATAAGCAAAATTATCATTTGTATACTAAAACATGTATTAATATAAAATAACACACAGATGGATTGCATGTTTAACCTGATGAAGAAGTAAGCCTGCCTTTTCAAGGGCAAATTTCATTTATATTCATGTTTTTGATTATTTCACAATTAATTGTTGATTAACCGAAATCGAATTTTCAATTGAATACATGAATATTAACTTAACAAAAAATAATTAAAAAAAAGCTGTTGTATGATATAAATTAACCGTCAGTAGAATTTATTTAAATATATTAAAAAGCAACACATTCCTTTTATATCGCAAATGAATTTTTGAATTGGACGAAATATTTTCCTTTTGTTTAATAATACCTTATATTTTGAAAAATTTTAAGCACGTATACATGGAAATTAGTATGTATCCATTAGTTGATAAGTTCTTAAGCATAATACAAAAAGTGGGATTTTAAGGAAAAAAATACATGCTTAAATTTCTGCCCGCGCCAAAAGCGATTTTGGGACTTATATAATATAGAAGTTATAACCTTACTGATAATCATTTGAGCTTGAAATTTTATCCTATTTTTTTATTGCGTCACTTTCCATTGTTTCCTATGCTACGTTAAATTTATATATTTTGTGATAATCACTACTTTGTTATGATTATGAAGCCCATGTTATTTTGTTAAGTTAATAAAAATTTTCAAGCCGTCTACAAAAAATAATTTTTTGAATCATAAAGTTTAAACTTTTATTTTCAATGAAAAACGTTGTTCATAAAATTTATCATTTTTTGTGAAATACTTTTAGACTCAAAAAAAAAACGGCAAGACTAATTAAATGGAGAATAATTAAAATCGTATGTTATAATAAAACTAATGAATAAATGTAATGATGAAATCTAAAGAGTTAAATAATATATTCGTTGTTAGATCTTACAGATTCTAACATAATATAATAAAATAACTACTGGTATTACGATATAAAGTATAACATGAAACTCAAGAAAGTGTCGCTTAATAATTTAATGCTCCGTCGTGAACATTGATATCATTCAATGATCCAATCGCAATATAATAAACTTGAAAAATTTCCCCCGTATAATACGTATGAAAAAAGTAACAAAGTTCGTTTATTGTTAATTGTACAAATGGCGTCCAAGACAGAGCCTCACTATGATAATACACATACATAAATAAACACACGGGCGCTTACGCCAACATCGTAAAAATGCACGAATATATACGTGTATCTACGTATCCATGCATTTGTGCATTCGCGTATTTGTAGATGTGTGCATTTATGTATTTGAACGTGTGTACGTGTGTATGTATAAAATAATAATGTAATATATATGTAAAAACGAGATAATCAGGTGTCCCGGATTGGGGCCCTCCCCATGTCTCGCTCTTGATTTGCTATACTTACTGGCAACGCCCGATGCATTTGGGTCCTTGTGCGTAATCTTCATGTGCTCCATGAGGGCCTCGCCACCGAGGTAGAGCTTGTGGCATACGGGACAGCTGGTGGCGCTGGGGCCACCGATCAAAGAGTTATGTTGCTGGAACACAACTCGCTGTTGCAGCTCCTTTTTTGGTGGTTCGCGGTAGTCGCAAGGCGACAGACAGAAAGGAGTTGCGAGTTTTGCGACCCATCACATCACCACCACACCACACCACGCCATCAACACGCCATACCACCGTAATCACGTTTGTAGCGAGTAGTTAGGTTCAGAATCGCCAACGCACCACCGAACCAGCCCCCGAGGATAGAGTAGTTATCGTAGATGAGACCGTTGATGTGTGTGGAGGTGAAGAAGCGCAAGCGTATGTTGCCGCGAGCACCCAGGTGAAACGCGCAGAGTCAGGCGGAACACAGAACAAGAACACCATACCAAAGTCAGTCACGGCCACCACATTGTAAGCCGACGCCACCATTATTGGTACTACGCCTTGCACAAGGGATATTTGGATGGGTGCCTTTAAGCCTTTTATGATTCAAACGCTTGGAAATTTTTGTTATGGAGAATATATTATGCTTATATCCGATTTTAAAGAGACTTCTCAGAACAATGCTTTCTTTGAAAATGTCGACCATGGACCGAGAGTAATGTCAATTATTACAATTAATGAGACGTTGGCGAATGATTTTTTTTTGCATCCAAATTATGTAATATAGATATATAAAGTTATATTTATTGATTCAGAAATAATTTAACTTAAGTTTTTTCACGAGATTAATGTTTCTAACATTAGTTTTAACTTCAAATTTATAACACGGAATAATAATACCAATAATAATATATATTACCGAAATTATTAGTATATTCACAATATTATTTTAATAATTTAATCATTCAAAAGTTTTAGCAGTAATAATATTATGTTAAACATTAGAATGCATTATTAAAAATTCTCGGCATTTAGTCATTAATAATAATAGTAATAATAATAATAATAATAATAAGAAGAAGAAGAAGAAGAAGAAGAAGAAGAACAACAACAACAACAACAATAGCAATAATAACAATAACAAAATAAAGAAAAATAACAATAATATTCAAAAATAAACCTGTGCTATAATAACTATTGTATCAATAACATTATTAGAACGGATAATAATTTTTCTTTTGCATACATTACTTATAAATTATATCATAATGATAATTTAGAAATAAAGATAAATGAAAAATATAAATGACTGTTATTAATATAACTATTTCATAAAAAATACGTGAAACGTAATTTACTTAGAATTTCAGTGATTTTTTAGATTGATACGTTATTTTAGTTTAGCATAAACAATAAATAAAATTGACATATACTCTTAACATTTGAATATAAATAAATATAAACATAATATTTTATTCAACCATATTGGACAATAAATTATTACAAAAATTCGATTTATTGAAAAATTCATATTACTTTCATGAATTACACAATTTTATATTGAAAATTTAAATTCTTATTATCTTAAAAGGTTAAAGGGCGACTAATATATTTTTCTACGCTGGATAAAATTGCTTATAGTAAATTACATTCATCAGATATTAAAATTATTCATTAAACCTTAAGATTTTATAGCAACGGTAATTCAATAATATTATTTGTTAAGGATTGCATTCTTCTTGTCGTTTGAAATTGCTACTTTCTTTAATAGTATATCAGTTTGTAGATGTTCTCCAAGATCAAAGTTCATAGCAAAATTCATTTTTCGTATATTATCATATATGTATGAATTTTAAATATAAATTTGAATTTAAATTATGATCCCGTGTATAATTACAAATATGGTTCACATTTACTTTATAGAAAAATTTGAAATATACACTTTTATATATAATAGTTAAAAGCAAATATGTTCTTTAAAGATAAAAAATGCAATTTATAAATATATATTAATAGAATTATAAGGTATATTTTTTCTATTTTAAACACATAGATCAATAATTAATAATTATTATGCCAAGCATTTAAAATAGGAGGCGTTAAGTCATTAAAACAGAGACCCTACTATTCTTAATAAGTACCTCATAGTAATTCGAGAAAAAATTTTTTAAGCTTGCCGTTAATGTATTTTACAATATTAATGAAATATTATATTTAATGGGCTACTATAAATTCATAGGCATATTTTATGAAAATTTTCTATTAATGTGTAGCAAGTGTTGGAAAAAATAAGCTTTTAGTTAAGCGATGAATGATTTAAAAATTTTGTACTATCTTAAAAGTTGTTGAGTAAAAAATTCGATGCTATATATTAAATTCTAATTAAAAAACTCTAGTAATACTGAAGACTTTTTTTTATATTTACATTAATGTGATTATAATTTATTTAACCAACATGATAAAATTAAAATTTAATATTTCATAGAGATAGATGATCATAAATTAATGGTAGGAAAAAAAAAATTCTGCTGTATATGATTTAAGAATACTTATAGAAGCAGAAAACCAAAAATTATGTTAAATAAAAGCTTAGGCTCACGACATCGATCGATTCGCGTCTCATTGTATTATTCTATTGGTTTTCGATTTTCTTCAAGATACGCAGGTATTTTTTACGTATAAACAAATTAATTGGCAAATTAGAAAAATCATAAATTTGTAATAATAAGGAACGACAATGATCTGTTTCGATCGATTTCGTATAACCTCTGCGATTATGTATCATAAAGGAAACGAGGACAAGGAAGTTAAGGGTTTGCGCAAAGCATAGAATCAATGATTGGCTTTATTCTTATTTAATGAATTAAATAGTCAAACGTTGCTTAATGCAATGCTAGATAATGAAATCAGAATGTACGAATTATATGTACGTACAATAATCAAACGTCCTTTACTACTTTTATTTTGTCATTGCTTTTCAACTATACGATATATTTTGCCGTTTTTTGTGTATCATGTCAAAAATTTTGACTATTATTACGTTATAAAACAATATATTGAAAAATTAATAAAAAAAAATATATATATATATGTATATTCATATGGCTAGAGAATCACGAGAGATGAGATTTCGCGTGTCGAGTTGGCATTGAGAAAAGATGTGGCCTTTGGTAGAAAGAGAATATATCCCGCTCAACGTCGTTCTTTTTATTTTCGCGCGTGTTTTTAGTTCTTGGTTCATAAATGTGCGTGAACGCATGCGTTTTTGGACACCCGCAGTCTCTCTATCTCTTTCCTTCACTCTTATTTGTTTTTTTCATCATGTTCGCCTTGCCGATGCGCCGAAGGACAAGACAAGACCGTGTGTATCTGTCTGAGCGGAAAAACGTCCTTGCGGCAGAGGCTGAAAGTGCAGCGTGCAGTTTTATAAAATCATGAGCCAATATATACGTAAGTGGAAGGACACTTTGCTGATTGAGATCAGTTTTACATTTTTTTCTTCCACAAAAATCGAGATTCGAATGGATTTAACCAAGTTTTTAAAAATTCTCTCAGACTCATGACCCTTTTATGCGGACTTCACAAAGAAGGGCTTCGCCGAGGCTTTTTAAAGTGAAATTTTCTTTTAAAGAAAACTACGTGAATAAATTAAGTAGACGATTATATTCCCAAATTAAGCGAAAATTTGTAACTATATGAAATGCAACCAATAATAATTTAATAATTTTTTCCCAATATCGGTCATTATAAACTAGAGTTACTACAAGAGTCACTACTACTCTGATTGCTTAAATTACGTTTGAAATTCGAAGTTAAGCCACTGATAAAAAATACTGCAGTATTTAATAAAAATTAATATTGAAAATCCCGCCGAAGAGTAATTTCAAAACGTTTCTATTTCGATGCCCCGAATACTAGCGTATTGAAGGTCAGCGGTGAACGCATCGTCCTTTTAAAAGCCCTACCAATGAAAGATCGCAAGCGACAAAAGGCAGATTAAGAAATGCGTAAAATAAGTATGGAGGGGCGTCAACAGAGATCTAAAATAAGACCCAGTGGCAATGACCCGAAATTTGGCTCCCACCCCTCAGCATCATTTGATGTTCTCCAGTCTTCAGCTTCCACTCGTTCGTTTTTTCGCTTTGCGTTAGAGCTTGGCAGCCTCACTTTTTCTCTGGTTGCGCCCGGTTTCGCGAGTTCACCTCTTTATTCTCTCTTTTTTCCCGGACCTAGGGTAACTAAAGTCAGAAAGAACGAGCAAGAGAGAGAGAGGGAGAGAGAGAGAAAGAGAAAGAGAAAGAGAGCAGCGAGAAGAGTTACATGCAAGTTATTCTCGGAGAGCTTCTCTCTCTCTTTTTCTCATTCTCTTGCTCGTCTACAAGTCTCTCTGCGGTCCAGCGACAGAGAGAGAGAGAGAGAGAGAGAGAGAGAGACAAAAGTTCGACGCCCCGACCTGGCCCAAGTGGAAAAAACCGGTTTCTTCCTGCACCGCGCTAACGCTCTTTCTTCCTTTTTTGCACCACGTTACAGCAGCATCCTCGCGAGGGACTCTTTTTGCCGCACGTCCTTCTCTAGTTCTCTCGCTCTCTTTTCTGTTCTCTTTCTTTCTCTCTCTCTCTCTCTTTTTCTCTTTCTCTCTAAGGACTCGCGGTATACTCTTCTCTCGCTTGCGCTTTCCATCAGCAAGTCCCTCGCTTTTTTTCGCCTTGGTATAGGCCGAGCGAGCGGGCAACCGTGAAGGGAGAAAGAGAGAGAGAGAGAGAGAGAGCGAGCGTGGGTGAGTAGGCGCACAAGATCCTTCGACGTCGTTCACGATGGGATAGAAGAGGAGGAGAGGAGAGAGAAAATTCATCTCGTATGCTTGTAGACTCCGCGTGCGGTGTGTTGCGCGACTCCAAGGAAGCCGCACCGTTTTCTTTACCTGCGTAATGAAGGAAGAAATAGAAGAAAAAGGATAGGATGGAAGAAAGGGCTTCGGGTCCTATTTCCAATTCCCCAGGTATACTTGTTTGTTCTATAGCCTTCTTTCCTCCACCTTCGCGCTTGTCGGAATTTTACCATATATGCCAAAATCGATGGAACCGTGTTTCCTTAGTGTCGCCGAGCACTTTATTGCTTTCAGTTAGGAATAGCTTTTATTTTTTTCTGCATTCTTCGTTTATCGCAGTTTGTCGACCTTATATTTTAATTTGTCTAA